CCCTACATGCTGTGACGAGGTCCCTGCACGCTGTGACGAGGTCCTACATGCTGTGACGAGGTCCCTGCATGCTGTGACGAGGCCTTGGACGATGTGACGGGAATCTGGACCTTTCACTTGTTTTTTTAAGTCAAATTTAATATCTATATAACTTTTTTTGAACGTCATTACCACGTTAATAAATCTCATTGAAAATACGAAATTAAACCATGTAAATAATTTAACTTACACAAGATCAGAGAATCGTTTTTTCTCTCAATTATATAATATGAATTTGAGTCTAGTTAATATAGTATATGGAAGATTCAGTAGCCTCACCTTATAGGATGCGCGAGGCTACATAGAACTGGAATTCAATTTGAGACGATATGGCATGATAAATAATTTTGGAGTTTTGTAACTATCTATTGTATTCACTCCCGGAAACTGGACAATATTTTCGCGATCTATTCAAAAGTTTGCAAGTGTCTATTGTCTATCAGAGCGGCGCATGGTGTCTATTCGTTCTATTTTCCTGATTCTATAGATAACTAACCATTCTATAATACGGGAAATATTAGATGAATTCCCTTTGAAACACAAACCGAAACTGTCTCTATTTTCCGCTTGTTACAACTTGTAATAAAGTTGTTACATCTTGGCTTAACGTGTTTATGACGTATTAGAACGTTGTTACAACTTGCTATATTGGTTGTTACAACTGCCGGGGAGCCGGTCGGCCGAGCGGACAGCACACTAGACTTGTGATCCTGTGGTCCTGGGTTCGATCCCAGGCGCCGGCGAGAAACAATGGGCAGAGTTTCTTTCACCCTATGCCCCTGTTACCTAGCAGTAAAATAGGTACCTGGGTGTTAGTCAGCTGTCACGGGCTGCTTCCTGGGGATGGAGGCCTGGTCGAGGACCGGGCCGCGGGGACACTAAAGCCCCAAAATAATCTCAAGATAACCTCTCAAGATAACTGGTTAGGAGGTGTTAAAACTTGTTCCAACGTTGTTCCTACGTCGTAGTTTCGGTGTGTGGCGGGAATTATAGCTGGTTCTTGACCAAAGGTGACAAGAGCATGTTGTCACCTTTGGCTCTTGTGTAATTAACCTTGTTAATATTAATACAAAAGAGGCCCCTCCTCTACACCCCTCTATGTTAACATCGCGTGTCCCGCCACCCAGCTCGGGCTCGGGTCCCACACGCCACTACACTCTCATATCTCTTGTCTAAATTAATATGTCCCGGAGAGTTGAATATTGTGTTTATATATGTACCACTCAGCATACTCCCTTCCTGTTGGGCTTGGGGTCTATCACTCCCCAGAGAGCTGTTAAAGCCGCCGCTATTACTAACTTTTTTTTTTTTATCTTTATTTAAGAAAATACAATATAAATTACATATAAGTTTTACAAGGCAATTATACAGTACAATTGTTAGTGAGCAAGTGTTTCAGTAGTACATAACAAGATTTAAAAAAAAAACTGAATGTTATACATATTTACCTATTTACCTATTTACCTATTTACATATTTACCTACATATTTACCTATAAACGATTTACAAAAATTGGTGAATATTATTTACATTAAAATACAGGGGAAATTATGACCAACTCCCATGTTCACTTGGGTTCAAGGAACTCAGCATAGATATACCGAGAAACGTTCTGTGCCCCTGAACAAATCCATAAGGGCCGTGACGAGGATTCGAACCTGCGTCCGGGAGCATCCCAGACACTGCCTTAATCAGACGCAGGTTCGAATCCTCGTCACGGCCCTTGTGGATTTGTTCATTTGATGCATCACGTTAGTGTGATCTCTGTGTGTTCTGTACCTCTCTATATACAGCTCTGTATACAGCTCTGTATACAGCTGTATACAGCTGTATACAGCTCTGTATACAGCTGTATACTGTATATGCATCCTCCTCAATGATACCACTTAAGACAACAGTTTCATCAACATAACAAAAATGCTGGATCATCGGGGGGCCCTGACGGCTGAGTAGACAGCGCTCGGGTTTCGTAGTCCTGAGGTTCCGGGTTCGATCCCCGGTGGAGGGGGAAACAAATGGGCAGAGTTTCCTTCACCCTGATGCCCCCTGTTCACCTAGCAGTAAATAGGTACCTGGGAGTTAGACAGCTGCTAAGGGCTGCTTCCTGGGAGGATGTGTAACAAAAAGGAGGCCTGGTAGAGGACCGGGCCGCGGGGACGCTAAGCCCCGAAATCATCTCAAGATAACCTCAAGGTAACCTCCGGAATCCATGTTTTGTATCAGTGACCTGTCGAAGTAAGCCTAATACGCTATCGAAGGCCAGGGCTATTTGACCCCCTTGCCCCCCCTCTAAGTAGGGTTCGCTCCTATTGGGACAACCAACGACTTCTGTGATATCTGAATGTGGGACTGATATCCACAGAGTGTTTTCCAACGTATCTTACGGCTGTTATCAATGTTGACTCAACATCGATAACGCTGATTCATCATTGACAATGCTAATTCAACATTGATTCTGCATTACTCGAGCATATTTTGTTGATTGGGAGGGAGGGAGATTGTAAGGATGGGAGGGAGATTGTGAGGGAAGGAGGGAGATTGTGTAGGTAGGGAGGGAGATGTGAGATTGTGAGGTAGAGACTTAGAGAGGGAGGAAGAGGTAAGAGAGAGAGAGAAGAGAGAGAGAGAGAGATGAGAGAGAGAGAGAGAGAGAGAGAGAGAGAGAGAGAGAGGAGAGAGAGAGAGAGAGAGAGAGAGAGGAGAGAGAGAAGAGAGAGAGGGAGAGAGAGAGAGAAAGAGAGAGGGAGAGAGAGAGAGAGAGAGAGAGAGAGAGAGAGAGAGAGAGAGAGAGAGAGAGAGAGAGAGAGAGAGAGAGAGAGAGAGAGAGAGAGACCGAGACAGACAGACAGAGAGAGAGAGAGACAGAGACAGAGAGGAGAGATATAGTGAATAGAGAGACAAACAAACTCAAAAAGACCCGGGCACCGCCGGGTCTCCCACGATAGTAAAACTAATAACAATATATTTAAACAGCAACAAGTACATGAAGCTGACTTTAAACACTTATAATCTCTTAAGAAAATTTTTATTTCTTTTCCTAAAGTATTGATAAAATAAAATGCATTTTTGTTCTAATCTCAAAAAGTTCTTTTCACGGCGGCGTAAAGTGGAATTGTCTTACAAGTATAAGTAACTTTAAGAACAAATGAACAAATCCACAAGGGCCGTGATGAGGATTCGAACCTGCGTCCGGGAGCATCCCAGACAGTACCTTAATCGACTGAGCTATAAGTAACTTTACACATATAATAAAGTTACATAAGTAACTTTAAGTATCTTTATCCATTTCTCATACGACCCAAATGAGCATTTTAGGGATAATATTGAGTTGGTGATCGTTAGCTTTACAGTCAGCCTCGTTAACTAAGGCTAATTGCTCGTTAGACCAGCTGGCAAAGCTCCTGGGGCCCAGATTCACGAAGCAGTTACGCAAGCACTCACGAACCTGGGGCCAGATTCACGAAGTAGTTACGCAAGCATTTACGAACCTGGGCCCAGATCCACGAAGTAGTTACGCAAGCACTTACGAACCTGGGGCCAGATTCACGAAGTAGTTACGCAAGCACTTACGAACCTGGGGCCAGATTCACGAAGTAGTTACGCAAGCACTTACGAACCTGGGGCCAGATTCACGAAGCAGTTACGCAAGTACTTACGAACCTGGGGCCAGATTCACGAAGCAGTTACGCAAGCACTTACGAACCTGGGGCCAGATTCACGAAGTAGTTACGCAAGCATTTACGAACCTGGGGCCAGATTCACGAAGCAGTTACGCAAGCACTTACGAACCTGTGGTCAGATTCACGAAGCAGTTACGCAAGCACTTACGAACCTGTCCATCTTTTCTCAATCTTTGGCGGCTTTGTTTACAATTATTAAACAGTTAATGAGCTCCGAAGCACCAGGAGGCTGTTTATAACAATAACAACAGTTGATTGGCAAGTTTTCATGCTTGTAAACTGTTTAATAAATGTAACCAAACCCGTCAAAGATTGAGGAAAGATGTACACGTTCGTAAGTGCTGGCGTAACTGCTTCGTGAATCTGGCCCCAGGTTCGTGAGTGCTTGCGTAACTGCTTCGTGAATCTGGCCCCAGGTTCGTAAGTGCTTGCGTAACTGCTTCGTGAATCTGTCCCTTATTATTATGCTATAATTCTATGTATTAGTCAGGCATAGGTTAGGTTAGGTTAGGTTAGGTTAGGTTAGGTGTGGTTAGGTTAGGTTAGGTTAGGTTAGGTTAGGTTAGGTTAGGTTAGGTGTGGTTAGGTTAGGTTAGGTTAGGTTAGGTTAGGTTAGGTGTGGTTAGGTGTTTAGGTTCTGTTGGCGATTATTGGTATTTGTAGTACGTGGGTGAAGCATTTACAGCGTTGTGGTTCGAACACAAGTCGTCAGTGAAGTACTTGTTCCGGAAGTGTTCGGACGTCATCAGTTGTGGGTCGTGTGTAAACCGTTTTTCATTTATAAACAGCTGGGGGTTTGGCGGGTGCATGGAATGGTCTTTGAGTCTTTATTTGGGGGATTGGGTGGTTGTTGACAGCGTTGCGATTCGAACAGAGGTTCGAATCGCAACGCTAGCCAGCGTCCCCGCTAGGAGGTTATTAGCCAGCCAGCCCGTGTTCTAAACAAAGGCCCAAAGACCATTCCATCCACCCGCCAAACCCCCAGCTGTTTATAAATGAAAAACGGTTTACACACGACTCACAACTGATGACGTTCGAACACTTCCGGAACAAGTGCTTCACTGACGACTTGTGTTCGAACCACAACGCTGTAAATGCTTCACCCACGTACTACAAAAATAGTTAGGACACTCAATAGGGAGTGCACCTACTAGGCAATTTCCTAGCAAGTACTGATGCTAGGACACTCCCTAGCAAGTACTGACGCTAGGACACTCCCTAGCAAGTACTGATGCTAGGACACTCCCTAGCAAGTACTGACGCTAGGACACTCTCCCACAGGAACCAACGGCTCAGCGATGCGGAGACTGCCTCACGTCCTCATTATTGGCGCCAAAAAGTCGGGGACGCGGGCGCTCTTGGCGTTCCTCAGGGTCCACCCGTCCATCAGAGCCTCAGGGCCAGAGATTCATTACTTCGACCGGTTCTACAGCCGCGGCCTCTCCTGGTACAGGTGAGGAAGGGCTGGTGAGGGGTGAGGGAAGGTTGGTGAGGGGTGAGGGATGACTGGTGAGGGAGTGAGAGGCCCTGGCAGACTATGGAAGAGCAAGGGAATGTTTGTTTTCACTTGACCCGCACAACTAGATGCCTAACCTGCTTGTGCCATCTTTGTCCTCCAGGAACCAGCTGCCTTTGAGTCTCGAGGGCCAGCTGACGGTGGAGAAGACACCAGCTTACTTCACTACTCCTGGAGTCCCAGCTAGGGTCAAGGCCGACCTGCCCGCCGCCAAGCTCCTCCTTGTAGTGAGAAATCCTGTCACCAGGGCCCTCTCTGACTACACCCAAGGCCTCAGGTAGGGAGAGAGAGAGAGAGAGAGAGAGAGAGAGAGAGAGAGGAGAGAGAGAGAGAGAAGAGAGAGAGAGAGAGAGGAGAGAGAGAGAGAGAGAGACCTTGCTGTTGATCGCAGCTTCCTGGCTAAATTATTGTCCTCTCACAATCCTGATTGTGAGTTGTGAGGACGTCATGCAAGATGCTTGTGAGGTGTGGGGGACACCATGAATGACAGTGGTGTCATTCATGGTGACACCACGCAGGACTCGTAATTCTGTGGCGCGGGTTCGATTCCCGCACCAGGCAGAAACAAATGGGCAAAGTTTCTTTCACCCTGAATGCCCCTGTTACCTAGCAGTAAATAGGTACCTGGGAGTTAGTCAGCTGTCACGGGCTGCTTCCTGGTGTGTGTGTGTGTGTGTGTGTGTGTGTGGTGTGGAAAAAAAATGTAGTTAGCAAACAGTTGATTGACAGTTGAGAGGCGGGCCAAAAGAGCAAAGCTCAACCCCCGCAAACACAACTAGGTGAACTAGGTGAATGCACACACACTCACACACACACACACACACACACACACACACACACACACACACACACACACACACACACACACACACACACACACACACACACACACACACACACACAAACACACATTAGGAAGTGATGTGGTGGAGGCTGACTCCATACACAGTTTCAAGTGTAGATATGATAGAGCCCAATAGGCTCAGGAATCTGTACACTAGTTGATTGACAGTTGAGAGGCAGGACCAAAGAGCCAAAGCTCAACCCCCGCAAGCACAAATAGGTGAGTACACACACACACACACACACACACACACACTACCTTCCCTTTATTAAAGACTAGTATCCCCCATATACAATATTTTACGACACTATTAGCGACAATTACTCCCCATCAACTATTCAGACTATGTTAAAATCCATTCCCAACAACCCTAATTATACTCTCAACCCTCCACAAAGGTCTATACAGAGCAAGGTATGGCACTATAGTGCCCCCTAATCACATAAAGTTGGCTATGAAACCGGTCCTCTCAATTAATACCTCTCAATTTTGAACGTTATGGACCCCCACGTACATATTACAGCGTACCATGAGAAATAGCGGGTCACTATTATCCACGTTTTCTATGTACCGCTGGTCTGAGATGGTGGTCTAAGATGGTGGTCTGAGATGATGGTCTGAGATGGTGGTCTGAGATCATGGTCTGAGATGGTGGTCTAAGATGGTGGTCTAAGATGGTGGTCTAAGAAAATGGTCCAGTATACCCCAGACCAGTATTTCATCGCTAACAATAGTTCTACAAAAGTCTAATCACCATAACAGCCAATCATCACCATAACATCTAATCACCATCACATAACATCAATGATTACCAATCATTGATGTCACCAAGTGCAAAACCTGTCCATCTTTCGACTTGTGATCCTGTGGTCGCGGGTTCGATCCCGGGCGCCCGCGAGACAATGGGCAGAGTTTCTTTCACCCTATGCCCCCTGTTACCTATCAGTAAAATAGGTACCTGGGTGTTAATCAGCTGTCACGGGCTGCTTCCTGGGGGTGGAGGCCTGGTCGAGGACCGGACCACGGGGATGCTAAAGCCCCGAAATCATCTCAAGATAACCTCAAGAAGGAGAAGATCATGCCAGGTCGGGTTATATGTTATCTTTTTACAAGCTTCGATATCTCACGACGACCCAATATTGTTGTTGTGGATAATATCGTATTTTTTTTTTTTATTAAGTTATGAGGTACATCTGCATTAGTGCAGCTGCCCTAGACTATATGAAGTGGAGTACAGTGTGTCAAAAAAGCTAACTAGGTGATGTTATAAAATCCCCATCACACAGGATGGTTAGTCATACAGAGGCATGTGATAAGCGGTCTGCACTGGCAGACTTCGGATGCATTTTGAGGATATCAACAACACAAGATTGAATAAGGTAGCAGTGGTAATACAAGTCCCCATCTCGCAGGATGGTTAGTCATACAGAGGCATGTGATAAGCAGTCTGCACTGGCAGACTCAGGATGCATTTTGAGGATATCAACAACACAAGATTGAATAATATCTTGAGGTTATCTTGAGATAATTTCGGGGCTTTAGTGTCCCCGCGGCCCGGTCCTCGACCAGGCCTCCACCCCCAGGAAGCAGCCCGTGACAGCTGACTAACACCCAGGTACCTATTTTTACTGCTAGGTAACAGGGGCATAGGGTGAAAGAAACTCTGCCCATGTCATATAAGGCATGAATAAGGCAGCAGTGGTAATACAAGTCCCCTTCTCGCAGGATGGTTAGTCATACAGAGGCATGTGTATAGTGCTTCGAAGCCCCTTAAACTCTACGGGATCACCATAGCCCGTGCTGCTCTGAACTTAGGTTTCGAGCAGCTGAAACTTAAACAACAACAACAACCTTTAAACTATTTAATGTAAACACAGCAGTCGTGATTTATCAATGGTTATCTTGAGGTTATCTTGAGATGATTTCGGGGCTTTTTTAGTGTCCCCGCGGCCCGGTCCTCGACCAGGCCTCCACCCCCAGGAAGCAGCCCGTGACAGCTGACTAACTCCCAGGTACCTATTTACTGCTAGGTAACAGGGGCATTCAGGGTGAAAGAAACTTTGCCCATTTGTTTCTGCCTCGTGCGGGAATCGAACCCGCGCCACAGAATTACGAGTCCTGCGCGCTATCCACCAGGCTACGAGGCCCCTTAATGATGAATGGTTGATGAATTCTGTCCATGATTTAGATCTCCGTTCTACGAGACGTTAAGAAGTTCAGTGACGGGTGTCAATCATTTTCCTGTACAAGCAAGTTGACTCAAACTGAAGAGGAGTTCTCAACCCTTTAACCTATCGGAAATTGGAAATAAAAAACCAAAGATAGGTCATTGGGTGAGGGAGATAGAGAAGTCAAAGGGGGGAGTAAGGAAGAGGGGGTTTAGGGGAAAGATAAAGTTTAGAATGATAGAGAAAGGAGGAAAGTGTTAAAAAGTTCAATAGCCAGAGGCTTAGATAGCCAGATGCTGTCTACTAAAAAGTAAACAGCCCCTGGCTATCTGCCTACCAGGAGACAGCTTCTGGCTATCTGCCTACCAGGAGACAGCTTCTGGCTATCTGCCTACCAGGAGACAGCTTCTGGCTATCTGCCTACCAGGAGACAGCCCCTGGCTATCTGCCTACCAGGAGACAGCTTCTGGCTATCTGCCTACCAGGAGACAGCCCCTGGCTATCTGCCTACCAGATAGCCTCTGGCTATCTGCCTACCAGATAGCCTCTGGCTATCTGCCTACCAGGAGACAGCCTCTGGCTATCTACTTACCAGGAGATAGCGTCTAGCTATCGCCCTACCCCACCTAGACAGCGGCTTGTTTGATGGACACAACACAACCACCCGTCTGCCATTATCAGCTTAGCAGAAAGGTCACACGATGTGACCTGACCCGAAGATAACCTGTTATAATTAACCCCAGAAAGGTGTGATTTCTAAATGCTTAGGACCGATAACCTGGCGCCACCGATATCCTCTACTCACCTAGTTGTGCTTGCGGGGGTTGAGCTCTGGCTCTTTGGTCCCGCCTCTCAACCGTCAATCAACTGGTGTACAGGTTCCTGAGCCTGTCTGACCTCTGTCTGTCTGTCTGAGTCTCATGTATGAGCCTCTGTCTGTCTTACCTGTTTGAGCCTCTTGTTGTACGTGAAATAAGCCATTTTTGCTGTTACAACCAACAGCAGTCTTCCTTGAAGTCTTTGTAGTATCGAAGGCTGTACTATAAAAGTCTAAGAAAACAGCTTAGGGATATTCCGAGCGGGATTCGAGTGGACGGGGCTCAATTTTTGTCATTTGGTACGCATTCCTTGCATGCCATGTTGATGTGGAACCCGGAC